CGCCAGGGCTGCCCTTTGTCACCGGTTCTGTTCACTGTGTTCATGGACAGAATTTCTAGGCGCAGCGGGGGTCCGGTTCGGGGACCACAGGATTTCATCTCTGCTGTTTGCGGACAATGTTGTCCTGTTGGCTCCAACGAACCAGGACCTGCAACATGCACTGGAGCGGTTTTCAGCCGAGTGTGAAGCGGCTGGGATGAGAATCAGCACCTCCAAATCTGAGGCCATGGTGCTCGACCGGAAAAAGGTGCCTTGCCCTCTCCAGGTGGGTGGAGAGGTCCTTCCTCAAGTGGAGGAGTTCAAGTATCTCGGGGTCTTGTTCGCGAGTGAGGGAAGGATGGAGCGTGAGATTGACAGGCGGATCGGTGGAGCGTGCGCAGTGATGCGGTCGCTGTATCGGACCGTTGTGGTGAAGAGGGAGCTGAGCCGAAAGGCAAAGCTCTTGATATACCGGTCAATCTTCGTTCCCTCCCTCACCTATGGTCATGAGCTTTGGGTAATGACCGAAAGAACGAGATCGCGGATACAAGCGGTCGAAATGAGCTTCCTCCGCAGAGTGGCTGGGCGCTCCCTTAGAGATAGGGTGAGGAGCTCAGTCACACGGGAGGAGTTCGGAGTAGAGCTGCTGCTTCTTCACGTCGAGAGGAACCAGTTGAGGTGGCTCGGGCAACTGTTCCGGATGCCTCCTGGACTCCTCCCTGGGGAGGTGTTCCGGGCACGTCCCACCGGGAGGAGGCCCCGGGGAAGACCCAGGACACGCTGGAGGGACTATGTCTCTCAACTGGCCTGGGAGCGCCTTGGGGTCCCCCCAGACGAGCTGGAGGAAGTGTGTGTGGATAGGGAAGTCTGGGCGTCTCTGCTTAGACTGCTGCCCCCGCGACCCGGCAACGGATGAAGCGGAAGAAGATGGAATGGAATGGAACAATTATAATACCAGCTCACTGATGTTTGTGGATTTTTTTATTATATTATTCAGTACAGTACTTACAGTATGGTAAGAATCAGTTGGACGTATCTTGAAAATGAGAGAATTTTCAGCAAGGAAAGGTCTTGAAAGGATGTCTCATGCATCTTTCACACCTGAATTATACTTAACAGGTGATGTCTGCTACTTAAACTGTAATTCATTTTTCAAATAATGCATATTTTTTGCCATATGACCGTATAGTTGTAGTATCACGCAAAGGTAAGTTGTGTCCAAGCACAATTTATTTAATATAGTCCTTCTACCTGGCTTGACCACCAGCATTTGCTGTTGGAGAATACAGTATAGTTAGACCAATAGCAAGGGGCTCGTCTGTGCATCAGGGAGGGATTTAAAACAATCAGGAAGCAGTGGGCAGGTGTAACAATGTTTGCCTTGGAAAACTTTGTCCCTCTCCACCATTCAAAAAGTATTAGACATTCAGTGCATATATGCATCATGTGGTTTATGATATTGACACTGTAAAGAATTTATTTAAAGTCTTTCATTATGCACAGCAACCCACTATCGCATCATGTCAAAGGAAAAGTATGTTAAATTGAGCGTAGCTTTTATAAACCATTATATTATAGACCATTTATTTGGAAATGGTCAATCTCTTATTGGTGTCTATATGTTTAAAACAAGAGTGTGACATGGATGTAAAACCTAACACTACACAGTAATTAAAAGAGAAACAACAGTGTGGAGTATTCAAACTATCGCAGTTTATTAGGAGTTGAAAGACACAGTGGACTTGGCTTTCACATGCACTCAGCACTATTCTGTACATCACATTAAACAAGGAAACCCCCTCCTATAATCACTTCATCTTCCCTTATACCACATTTTTTTCACAACATGAACCAAAGGTTTTCTGGCTTAAACAACAGAGGAACAAAGTGCTAATGTCTGCGTGGATATTGGAAAGCATGCTTAAGGAGGCACTTCAGTCTGACTTAGATACTATAAATATAGGCCTACTCCTTTATCAAGTACGTAGAGAAAGAAACAGCCGTGTGTGTGTGATTTTGGTAAGGGCAATGCAGTTACTGCATGGACCACAAGGATATTTAGTATTAAACAGACATTCGGAGAGAGCGTCAGGTTGAAACCCTTGCCCAATTGTAATTGGCTGTGTCGCTGTGAAAAGGCCACTATTTTTGTGTCTTTTGTGTCTTCCTCTGTCTTTGTCTACTAACACATGTGCATGTCTATAAATTACATAATTGTGAATCATTGTTCTCAGTTATTAGTTATTAAAATTATGCTAGTTTTTATAAAAACAGAATGGGTGAGATTGCAGTGTACTCATTGTGCCTGATGTGGCTGTGTTTTAGTACACTATACAAAGTGTAATAAAACCTGTTAGACTTTCAAACTTTAACAGTTTTCTCTCAATCCTGGCCACCGTTAAAAATACCCTGTCTTCATTTGTTGTTGGATACCGCACAAGAGGAAGACCGCTTAGTTTTGTGAGGCATTTTGAAGAGCGTCTAATAAAGAATGTAGCATACAGGATATTATAGACACAAGTAATTTGACAATGACTCGATGCAGCAGTTGTTCATAAACAGTGAAGGCATATAGGGAAAGCAGAAAGACACTTATTCGGAAACAAAGTAACAGTAGAAAAAGTACGGCTTGTGACAAAATTCATCTGTACAACAATGTGCCTTGAAATAAACATGACATTGGTATTGTGCTCCTCTCCACTCAACAGGGCGGCGACTGTGCGGAAAGTAGAAAGGGGAGGAGAGAAAAAAATGAGGATTCTTCTTTACAAACTTCACATATCGTCAAATATAAAGTGACGCGGTACACAGAAGGAGACTCGTATTGTAAGTAGGGCTGCACGATATGTAGAAAATGCATCATGGTTTTGGCAAAATCAATTCATATGTAAATACTTCATACAGTTAATTTACAATGCATTTTGTAATTTTCTTTTGGCAAAATTATTATTTGTATAATTATTTTTCATCTTGTTTGGAGTGCTTGCTTGATCCTAATGTTATGTAGTGTGTGTTGCAACGCTGACATTTCAAAACTTAGGCTTCCCAAATTATTGTTCTATAATAACAATAATATATTAGTTATTATATAGTAAGACTTACTATTTGTTGTACTAAAATAACCAGTTGCACTTCCTAGGTCCCATTATACTATATTCATCCTTTAGTCAGTCAATTGATAAAATAATACCATAAAACTCGTAGATATGTGAAAGATGACAAAAATAATATAATATAATAATACATCCCACATTTTTCTAGTCAAATACTGAAATGAATCAAACTCACAAATAACATAGCCTAAAACATTTGCTAAAATGTTACTAGTTTTTGCTTTATTACAGGTCCATAAATCTCAGCTGTGGGGATTGTCATTTGGTCATTCTACAGTCAAATAGCCCCAACATTATACTGTATACCAGAGTTTATATTTACTAAAAAGAAATTGAGATTTTGGAGTTTGATCTCTGTGCAGAGATTGTTCCCACTTATAATCAGAGTAAACGAGTCATCAGAGGCCCAAACTGCAGTTCCCTAAATCCACAATGGCTCCAGAATTGTTACAAGCAGAGTGTATAAGGTGATCATGTATTTTAATGGCTTTTTAACGTTACAGCCAGGGGACTACAGATGAAAAAGAGCCTCCTTGCTAATTCTGGCTTTTTTAACTCATGTTTAATCATGTGTTTCATTAAATTGCATTGTCCCCTATGAAATAAACTAAACTGAAACTGAATAAATAGTATACATTTGGACTTGTTTTGATTTAGTCCAAATAACTAACTGTTAGACAACTTTAAATGGCAAATGATTGCAATAGTAAAAGTTATGGTAGACGCTTTTCTAATATCATACAGCTCTAATGTTACCATTAGTGGAATGAGGTATGCAAGAAGCGCAGAGGGATACAGCGGTCCACGTACACGTTGTCCATGCATCAATTCACAATAAACACAATTCTCACAAATCTGTCACTCAGTATGTGTCGCCTACGGTGCTTAAAGCGCATTATATGTCTGCAGGCTCATATTTAACAAAAACAAATATCTAGAAAAAAGTCCCAGGACCTGACCTTTTGTTGTGGTTCTCTAAAAGCCAAAAATCATCAGCATGGCAATATTCTCACAAAACCAAAATCTGTCCTCTTTGGCCTGAGTTTACATGTACATTTGTGTGTTGAGGTTGCTGAGGTGATGTTAGTGAATGTTTAGGATGGTCTGAGGTAATGGGATGAGTAATATTCAAAGTAAATAAGTCCATATAGATATAGTGTAGGCACAGGGTATAGACATGAGGCCAAACATAGAAAATAAAACCTATGGTGATTGTGGTCCAGTTTAGTCATGAGTACAACTAATATTCTACAATTAGTCTTTGGATAACTTGTTTTTTTCTTTGACCTAGTTCTGCACTGGTTCAATTCCAATTTTATCCCAAAGCAGCTTCAGAATATATATAAACCCTCTTAGATTGGTTAAGTTCTGATTATTTATCCTTGTTGTCATCATATTGTTTCTGTATTGACGCTGAATGAAAGGTTTTGTGTATTGTGATCACAACTTTCAGATTAAAAATACAATAGTATTACAAAAATACTAAATGAGATACGGTCATGGATGTAGTAAATAGATAGGGATGGAAAGAGTATAACAATGGATGAAGAGAGAAGAAACTTTCAAGAGAGAAATTCACTAAGACCCCGTCCTCTGTTCTGTGTGGTGGTCTTCATATACAGTGGATCCCCTGAATCTTTAGCTTGTTTTACTATCCTCTGCAGTGGCTCTGTTCTGTCCAACAATCCTGAGGGTAAAGTTAAGGTTTGTCCCAAAATGTTTCCTCTCAAACCATCTGAAATTCACGCAGAAATGCCCATGGTTTGTTCCTTGCATGACCATTATAGGCTTGGCAGGCTGAATCGGACTGCTGCTTAAAGAGCCAGGTCACAACAGGGCAGACAGCAGCGAGGAACCCCTCAGAGCTCTTTCATTTTGTGAATAGACTGTGGCTGCGTTATTCTGCCACTAGGGGGCAGAGTTGGACATGGAGTCGACAGAGTTAACGCTGGAAGACTGCACGCGGCTGTTGGAGATGGACACCTCTGGATGCTGTAAAACAAACAATCTGTTTTACCATTACAGGATAAAGTGATAACAATATTTCTATTTGAATTCAATGTTGCCTCATGCCATGTATTAACGACGACATTACATTACAGTATTCAAAGTTAAAAGTTCTTTAAACCACACACACATGCACAGCGGCATAACTCTCCTCCACTTTTAACTGAGTAATATTCAAGATGAAGAGATCCTTTATTCGTCCCACTGTGGGTTTTTCAATTCTCATTTGGTCCACTCACATGCCTCCTGAAGATCCGGTCCAGGAGGCTGCGCTTGGGGGGCTCCGGTGGTTGGTTCCAGTCAAGATCCGGAGGTCGCGTTCCTTGAGGTCCAAAAACATTCAAATCTCTGAAGCACTCTGTCTCTATCATCTAAGAATAAAGAACAGATCACATTTAATACATAATATTTCCTGGTTCATGTTTCAAACGGGAAATTGTATCACGCACCTCATTCTGCCAGGGGATGGAAACGCAGCCTGTAGCAAATTTGGAGTAAAAGTCATTGTCAGTTTGGTCCAAATTGACTCCTTTGACTGTGGAGAACTGCTCAATGTCTAAAACATCTTTACAATAGACGGCCCGAGGCTGGAGAGACATGAGTTGGAAAGAAAAGCATTGAGAATGGCACTGAATTGCATAACATGAACATTATGTAATGTGGCTGAATAGAGTGATAAGAATAATATGTGCAGTGGTTCACATTCCCTTTGAATAGAATCAACGTTATGAAACCAATAATACCTATGCAATTCTTCTGAAAGCTATAAATAAATATTCAAATGTCAAATAGGGACAACATTAAACTGTTTCCTCATAGGTTCATTATGTTATCTACTGTAACTTTCTAGGTGGTTGCTCCTTGGTTTAAGTTTTCACATGTATATCTTTTTGGCCTCTGTCTCATCTTTACATCAGACAGAAAAATGAAAGAGAGACGACGAACCTTACTCAGCCAGTCTTACCAGTAGGTCAAAAACAACATAAGATAAGATAAGATAAGATAAACCTTTATTAGTCTCACAGTGGAGAAATTTCAGTGTCATCGTTGCGCACATTACAGCAGAGAAAGGAAATAAGAGCACTCAGATTGCACACATCAAAGTCTATTATTTAAGATAATAGACAATAAATGTAAGATAAAATAAAATAAAATAAAATAAGAAACTTTGGGCTATGATTGCACTTGGTTCGGAGTATTTACAGATGTCTATATTATACATTAGTAGCAGAGAATATGAGAATATGAGCAGAATAAACATCAGAAATAATATCAACAGGAGAGAGAATTATCAGATGGATATGAATAATACAGTAAGATATCAACAGGAAAAGTGACGGTGAAAGGCAGAATTATCAGATATGTAGTACTGTAGTAGTACTGATAACAGGTAAAGTGACTAGTGACAAAGTTACTAGTGAATTATCAGAAACACTTGTGCAGACTCAGCAGTTCCTGTTACACATTCTCGTTGTACAGTCTGACAGCAGCAGGAAGGAAAGACCTGCGAAACCTCTCATGAGGTTTCTAATGTGACGTAGACAGCATGTTGTGGTCTGGTTGTGTAGTAATGTATTAACTATCCGAAAATAAAGGTACCCCAGCTTTAAAGGCTTCTGAAAGTGAAGCAGTGGGTTTTATCTGTCCCCAAACTGTGTGGTGAACCTGACTGTTCCTCTTTGGTATATTAATGCGTAAATTAAAAAATGCTGGACTATTTATATAAAACATTACAGAAACCCACAGAAGCCCACTGTGGTAGACTGTAGAGCACTCACATCAGGCACAAATGGTGGGTCCACAATCCCGGCCTCCAGTCTCTTGAAGTTGATGTTTTTGAAAAATATGTGTGCCTTTACTCCTGCTGCTTTGTCCGCCTGGCACCCAAGTCTCTGCTTTGGGTCTTTGGTCAGCAGCTGGGCATGGGATAATAATGAACAATATTCAGACAATATACATGTATCATTATTGGATTGGCCTGTAAAAAAATCTTGGTTAGGATTCAAGTATTGGAGAAATTACAAAATGTTTTGTTTTCCTGTTATTATGAGGTACAACTACTAAATGATCCCCTTTCGATACTTTGACCAGATACAGTATTTTAATGTTCTTTAAAACAGACATGTGCTGTAACTTTTGGGACATTTTCAGGTATACATATGTGACTTGTCTTAAGGCGTTTGTTCGGGACCCGCTTTTCAGAGCCAACCGTACAGTTGAGTTAGCCCCGTTTCCACCATCCCCACTTGGCCCCACTCTACTCTTCTCTACTCGGCCCTACCTGGCTTTACTCTATCCGGAGCAAATTCGTTATGCTTAAGTATCATGTAGCAACCTGCCCACTACAAACCAGTATTTTCAGAAATTTCAGGGTAACCATGGCTTCCAGCAGAACTTTAAACAAATTCTGTCTGTCAGTTAGAATAGTTCAGTACCAGCTCGGTACTAAATTGGTGCCTGTGAAAAACGCTTCCGATCGGGGTAGAGTAGAGCCAAGTCAGGCTGGTGGAAACAGTGTTTGCATGGGAAACACTTTTTACATATTTCATGGCAACAATGAATGATATTAGGACTTTTATTATTTATCATTATTTTACTTTTATTACTTACCATTCGACAGATGGCCTTGGAGTCCTCTGTAAACTTTTCATTGTACTCTTCCTCCTCCTCCTGCACTCTTCTCTCCACCTCCTCACGTTTCACCCTTTCTTTCCGGGCGCGGAAAGGCGACCGTCCCACTGTCATTTCATATATGAGGCATCCCAAACCCCACCAGTCTGGGCTCATCGCATACTTCGCATTGTTTATTACCTCTGGAGCTGGAGAGACATTTTGAATGTGTTTAAATGCTTGTCCTTTTTTAATTACGTTTTTTAATTATATGGATCTTACCCATATACCCAACAGTCCCCACTCTCCCTCGGATTAGCTCTCCTTCAGGCACTTTGATGGCCAGCCCCAGATCAGAAATACGAATGTGTCCTATGAACAAAGTTGGCTTAAAACATTGTGAATCATTAGAACACATAAAAGGCATTTTACTCACCATTATCATCTAAAAGGATGTTTTCTGGTTTTAAATCCCTGCAAAAACAAGTTGCCTTGAAAAGCAGTGATACAACTATGTCTCAAATAATTACATCTTGAATGTTACCTATAGACTATTGACTCCCTGTGCAGGTGCTCCAGCCCACAGGAGATCTGAGCAGCGTAGAACTGGACCCGGTCCTTCTCAAAGCCTGGTGTTCCCATGTTGTAAATGTGGAACTTCAGGTCTCCTCCGTTCATGATGGTCAGCACCAAACACAATGCGTCTTTGGTCTCGTATGCATATGCTAAACTGACCTACAGCAAAACAACAGGTTGGGCGTTAAGCGATAAACAAACAATGCCAAAACATTGCATCAAAACAAATACAGATTTTTTTATGAGAAACTATCAGGACCAAGGAAACCCAACCTAACCCAAGGAAGCCTGGTCTATGTGGGCCGATGCAAGCCAATAATTAACTGTTATACCAAACAAACCCACCAAAGTATTGAAGTCATTTGTTTACGAGAGTACATACTGTTTACTAGAGTACATACTTAACATACAAGTACATGTTTTTCCTTACTGCCTGTGAAACACTTGAACCTAATAATACAGCCGGAGAATATGGCATTACTGTTCCTCGTGTTAAAGGTAGGAGAAGTGTGCTCCAACCCTGACCTTACTCAAGAGAAAACTAAAGACCCACATGTTAAGGCTCCCTTACCCTGAGGCACTGTTGTTTCCCCTTCACTGCCCGGTTGTGATGTATCTAGTATATCTAGTATCTAGTATATATATATATATATATACAATTCTTTTGAAGCGCATTGAGTTTCCTGTATGAAATGTTCTATATAAATAAAAACATTCTTAACTAGAAACTTGCAATGGCTGAAGCCATTGCGATTGACTGCGGAACAGATCTAATGTGGAAATCTGCTAAAAAAAATCCTTGAAATCCTTTAAAAAGCCTTGAAACTGTTAAAATACTTGATAGATATTTGAAACTCCTGAAGTCCTTGAAATTGTTGAAACCTTTAAACTCCTGAAATCCTTGAAACTGTTGAAACATTGAAACTCCTGAAATCCTTGAAACTTTTTTAAACCTGGAAACTGTTGAAAGTGTGGAAACTCCTGAAATCCTTGAACCTCCTGATATCCTTGAAACTGGTTAAATTCTTAAACAGCTGAAATCCTTGAAACTACTGAATGTATTGAAAGTGTCCTTGAAACTGAAAAATCCCCTCACCGCTGAAACAATTTGGTTCCTGTAACTAAGGAAACCTGGTCTGTGGTCATTATCTGGTGGTGGTCTGAGTCTTCGTTTGGGTCTTGGTCTGGTGGTATAATGCAACCTATTAGGTTGCATTATACATGAAAAAACCCTATTAAGTTGCATTATACTGGTTTACATGAAAAAAACCCTATTAAGTTGCATTATACTGGTTAACATGAAAAAAACCCTATTAAGTTGCATTATACTGGTTTACATGGAAAAATCCCTATTAAGTTGCATAATACTGGTTTACATGGAAAAATCCCCATTAAGTTGCATTATACTGGTTTACATGAAAAAAACCCTATTAAGTTGCATTATACTGGTTTACATGGAAAAATCCCTATTAAGTTCATTATACTGGTTTACATGAAAAAAACCCTATTAAGTTGCATTATACTGGTTTACATGGAAAAATCCCTATTAAGTTGCATTTTACTGGTTTACATGGAAAAATCCCTATTAAGTTGCATTATACTGGTTTACATGAAAAAAACCCTATTAAGTTGCATTATACTGGTTTACATGGAAAAATCCCTATTAAGTTGCATTATACTGGTTTACATGGAAAAATCCCTATTAAGTTGCATTATACTGGTTTACATGGAAAAATCCCCATTAAGTTGCATTATACTGGTTTACATGAAAAAAACCCTATTAAGTTGCATTATACTGGTTTACATGAAAAAAACCCTATTAAGTTGCATTATACTGGTTTACATGGAAAAATCCCTATTAAGTTGCATTATACTGGTTTACATGGAAAAAACCCCTATTAAGTTCCATTATACTGGTTTACATGTAAAAAAAACCCTATTAAGTTGCATTATACTGGTTTACATGGAAAAATCCCCATTAAGTTGCATTATACTGGTTTACATGAAAAAAAAACCCTATTAAGTTGCATTATACTGGTTTACATGAAAAAAACCCTATTAAGTTGCATTATACTGGTTTACATGGAAAAATCCCTATTAAGTTGCATAATACTGGTTTACATGGAAAAATCCTCCATTAAGTTGCATTATACTGGTTTACATGAAAAAAACCCTATTAAGTTGCATTATACTGGTTTACATGGAAAAATCCCTATTAAGTTGCATTACTGGTTTACATGGAAAAATCCCTATTAAGTTGCATTATACTGGTTTACATGAAAAAAACCCTATTAAGTTGCATTATACTTGTTTACATGGAAAAATCCCTATTAAGTTGCATTATACTGGTTTACATGGAAAAATCCCTATTAAGTTGCATTATACTGGTTTACATGGAAAAATCCCTATTAAGTTGCATTATACTGGTTTACATGGAAAAATCCCTATTAAGTTGCATTATACTGGTTTACATGGAAAAATCCCTATTAAGTTGCATTATACTGGTTTACATGGAAAAATCCCTATTAAGTTGCATTATACTGGTTTACATGGAAAAAATCCCTATTAGGTTGCATTATACTGGTTTACATGTACAAATCCCTATTAAGTTGCTTTATACTGGTTTACATGTAAAAACCCCTATTAGGTTACATTATAGTGGTTTACATGTAAAAATCCTTATTAAGTTGCATTATACTGGTTTACATGTAAAAACCCCTATTAAGTTCCATTATACTGGTTTACATGTAAAAACCCCTATTAAGTTCCATTATACTGGTTTACATGTAAAAACCCTATTAAGTTGCATTATACTGGTTTACATGAAAAAAACCCTATTAAGTTGCATTATACTGGTTTACATGGAAAAATCCCTATTAAGTTGCATAATACTGGTTTACATGGAAAAATCCCCATTAAGTTGCATTATACTGGTTTACATGGAAAAATCCCTATTAAGTTGCATTATACTGGTTTACATGGAAAAATCCCTATTAAGTTGCATTATACTGGTTTACATGGAAAAATCGCCTATTAAGTTGCATTATACTGGTTTACATGGAAAAATCCCTATTAAGTTGCATTATACTGGTTTACATGGAAAAATCCCTATTAAGTTGCATTATACTGGTTTACATGGAAAAATCCCTATTAAGTTGCATTATACTGGTTTACATGGAAAAAACCCTAGTAAGTTGCATTATACTGGTTTACATGTAAAAACCCCTATTAAGTTGCATTATACTGGTTTACATGGAAAAATCCCCATTAAGTTGCATTATACTGGTTTACATGAAAAAAAACCCTATTAAGTTGCATTATACTGGTTTACATGAAAAAACCCTATTAAGTTGCATTATACTGGATTACATGGAAAAAACCCTATTAAGTTGCATTATACTGGTTTACATGGAAAAATCCCTATTAAGTTGCATTATACTGGTTTACATGGAAAAATCCCTATTAAGTTGCATTATACTGGTTTACATGTAAAAAACCCTATTAAGTTGCATTATACTGGTTTACTTGAAAAAACCCTATTAAGTTGCATTATACTGGTTTACATGGAAAAATCCCTATTAAGTTGCATTATACTGGTTTACATGGAAAAATCCCTATTAGGTTGCATGATTACACTGAAGTCCTTGAAACTGCTGAAGTCCTTGAAACTGCTGAAGTCCTTGAAACTGCTGAAGTCCTTGAAACTGTTGAAGTCCTTGAAACTCTTGAAATCTTGAAACTGCTGAAATCCTTGAAACTGTTGAATCCTTGAAACTGTTGAATCATTGAAACTGTAGAAATGTCTGAAAGAGCTGAAGTCCTATTAAAATGCATGGGCCTATTAAAATGCATTGCAGAATTCTCAATGCAGATTTTTGTCCGATTGCGGAAAAACCGGAAATCGCTGAAGTCCCAAAAGTAATAGCAATAATCTCCCAAACATGTGGAACGTTTGATGTATAACTTGTGGAAATTGTTGAAAATGTAAAGCTGTGAAACGTGTCAAAAAAAATGACGGAATAAAGAAATACAAAACCAATGGTTGACTGCGGAAGGTTCCGCAGTCAATCAATAAAATGTCTTTGTCTTCATTAAACAAAACATGTGGAAGCAGAATGCAGCCTCCACTTGGCCAAGCATGGCTAACCACATTATTATTAGTAAAAAGCATAGCTAACCGCTTCAATGGACTTTTATGGACTTTATGGACATGCCTTTATACTGTACAGAAGCTGGAATGTTTTGTTTTGTTTTCCTGTATATATTTCTTTTTCAATATGCAATATACTGTGTGTATTGGATATTATCTTTTTAACTATGAACCATGCTGTAATGTGTCCTTAATAAAGATTAATAATGCTGAATTAATGAGCATAAAAACCTGGCTAACCACTTCCATCTTTAGTTCATTTGGACATTTCTTTCTCAGCTTTGAGGTTCACACTTTACTGTTTTATGTTGTGTCATCACCTTTTAAAATTTTAAGTAACTAAACCATTTTTGAGTTTAGTTTTGCATGTAGGAGCACAGTCCACTGAGTCCTGTCCTGAAGAAATGGGTGGAGTCTGGTGTGCTCCTGCTTGGTTGGAATGAAAACCTGTAGCCACACAGCTCTTTCAGGCCCGAGCAGAATACCCCCAGGTCTATGTGATCATTTCTCAAGAATTTCAGATCACTCAATTATATGAGAGCTTGTTACATGTGTGGCCATTCATTACACAAAAGATTATTGTTATTTCTATGTATACTTACAACAAATCTACTGTTGACTTTCTCTAAAATGAGTTTCTCGTTGAGTGCCATGGACTCCCCTTTCCTCTTCTTGATCCTCTTTTTCTCCAGCTTCTTGCAGGCGTACATCTTCCCTGTGGCCCGGACCTGACAGGCACACACCTGACAACGGCATAACATTATTACTTCATACTCTCACGCTACAGCTTTACATTTTCCATTGACGTTATGAACCAACCTCTCCAAACCCGCCTTTCCCAAGCACTCGGTACTGTCTGAACGTATCTTTTGTGATTGGTTGCCTGACAGAAGACAGACACAGAAAAATCCATTAATAAACATTCACACAGTATCGATTAGAAGGAGATCTCATCAGGGGAACTCAATATTGCCGTCTGCATTTCCTGCCACGCCGGAAAGCTTTCACTGCACTTTTAGCAGCCTCTCATTCAGACTCCAGTGTAAAGTCTAGTCCAGCTTGTAGACATCAGAGGCACCATCTTCCCATTTTCTCAGGATACAAACTTTTGATATTTGCAATTATATTATACTCACACTTTTATGGTGATTGTTGACATATGTTGAGCTTGAGTTTAACAGTCATAATATTTGCTCAGACACATTACAAATCTTCGCTGGGCACACACCCTTCCCTATCTGCTAAGGTTTGCATATGAATGGACGCCTTTTATCTGCAAATTTCTTTTTATATAATCAAAAAGAAATTTGCAGATAAAAGGCGTCCATTCAAAAAAGTGTCAACAATCTTTTGACAAATACAAGACATTTATATAAATGGTGTGTGTTGAGCCGCCCAGACAGTGGTTGTAGAATCATACAGGTGAAACTCAGGAAATCACAATATTGTTCAAAAGTTCTGTTATTTCAACTTAAAATGGGAAACCAATAAAGGTTTGTTACATGCAAAGTGACATATGCCAAGCCTTTGTTGGATGTCATTATTACGATGTGAAGTCCATTCTCAAAATATTCAAATTTTCTGAGATGCGTTATTTGGCTAATTTCACCAATAATATTTCAAATAAATGTTGGAGTCAATTATAAACAGCTGTTTGTTTGATTACAAATATACAATAGACAACTTCACCCTATGGGGGATCTGACCTAGCCATTTTCTGGTAATGCATGCAGCTAAAGTCAAGATTCCAAACAATCATTTTGATGCGGCACAAACAAACAATCTTTGTATTAATCAAAATGATACCAAATACTTGTTTGAATAACTTAATTAGTGGCAGTATAAAAACATGATCTTCCAGCTGCAAATTCACCTTCTATGAACTGCTGTTTTTAGTTTTTTTACTATATTAGAAATGTTCAAAGTAACATTTAACCTCAGAGCCATTTCTCATTTTCCATGTAATTTGAGGATTGCTGGTGTTTTGTGTCATCAGTCAATGATATTTCCACTAACCTTTCCAGCATCTTCCACTGCAGAAAGCGGTCAAAGTACATACTGTTCTGGTAGTCGGAGAACGGAGCGCTGCTAAGGTAGTCGTGGACGGCCCTGAAGCAAACAGACAGTGAGATGCACCAAAGGCGATTGTACAGTTCAAGCTGTACAGTACTGTGTGGACGTGGGACTGAGGTGTGAAAAACACACAAAAGCAGTTTCATAAATCCAGGCTCATGCAAAAGTATTGTGGATCTTGGATTCTGAAATGAGCTATGGTGAATATACAGACAGTCCTATATACAGTCCCACATACTGCCCAAGGGGCACTCTTATTACACAACTTATTACAACTACAATCCAACTTTTACAGAATCTTCTTGCCTTCTTGTAGCTCCTAAACACTGATTACTGAAAAAAAATTAAAATACATTCCATGTGACCTATTTGACAGCTATTTCACATTCGAAAACAGGAACTGTCCAAATATACAGTAAATATTCTCAAAAAGTATATTTATTGTTCTTGAAAATTATTTTCAGGTTTTTATTTACATCACCACATCTTTGCCAAGAAGCCTTAAGCCAGCTTTAAAAATACTACATGATTTTTTTCTTCAGAATGCCAAAGGCAAATTTAAGATTTTTACATTTTAATCCATTAAGTTGGTGGTCACTCCCTTGTTTTTCCAAATCAGAAACATCTAATTTGGATACACACTAGTCTGAAGCCAGTTTTTTAGTCCTGATCAAGACTCGACTCCAGTCCTAGCCTCAGGTTTAGTAACAGGTGAGAGAAACGTACTTGCGGCAGTTGCTGAAGATCTCCTTACATGGACTTGTGTGGAGGTTTTCCCGACACTGGTCCGCAAAGCCCTCCACGATGTCGACGTGTTGTGAGGCCTGCACCCGACACGCGTGAACACAGAAGACGGCACACATCAAAACATTACATCTACGAGGAGAACACTGAGTGGCAAAAGACTGGACTGGATCACTTTTGGAGCTGAAGATCGGAGTCCAAGGATAACAGGTAATATGTTTGTATACGTACAAACATATTACCTGTATGTGTATTATACATGTATGTATATCATATGTATATGTGTATGTAAATACACATGTTATACGTATATCATTTTATTATCAATATTATTATCATTATTATATTGTAATTACTTTATTGGAAAGATTCATGTTTTAATAATTTCACATTTATTAACATAATAATAATAATACATATTTTTTTCAAGAGCATTTTTGAGTGTTTCTGGACTCTCAAAAACACATCACGGCATTTTTCATTCACTCCATACACGGCGGTGATAAACTCCTACTGCAGCCACAGCTGCCCTTGGACACAAGACTCTAAAGATGTGAACAAATATTTGATGCAAAATAGAATTGGATTGATACGACTAATGCACTATTTTTTCAGCTTGTTGCAGCCATTTACTCTTGAAATAGCTTCATAACATGACCCAATAAATTAAGAGTTTTGTGTACATTGGCCAGCGTCCAAAACATACGTCACACCTCTTTGGCTCAGACTATCATTTGTTAGATGGACTTTTTTCCCACATTATTTATTAGACTGTTCATCATTTCCCTTGTGAAGCTTAGGGCAGTTTTTATTGAAAAATAACTCAACCAAACTGCCTTGCATACAGTTCTTTCCCACAGGTGCACACATGAATCACGACTGGCAAACTACCTTGTATGCCCTAATAAGCAGAGAGGAAACAGCAGACTGGACTGTGGATGTGTCTCCAAAATGTTGTTCAACAAAAACTCACGTCTTTTGTAAGAAAGGTCTTGATGATCTGGTCCCCTCTGCATTTCCGCTTTTCATCAGGAGTGACCTCATAATCTTCCTAAAGAAACCATAGGATCAATAATTACCATACACTGGTAACACTAGAACAACATAGCACCACAAAATGTATTTATGGTATTGTGACGTATTCTTGTGATGCTCCTGACTAAAACTTTTTCATAATCACCATTGTTTGCGATTCAACAGTAGTGTACACCATCAAAATCAAGACCATGGGTGTCTACACTTTACATGTAGTACACTTTACTTTTAAGGGCTGCATATTGAAACACAGTTGTCTTTTAGCTGAAATTTTAATGTGAAATCTCAGCTAAAAGACAATTCAATCTAAATCATATGATAACAATGTTTTAAAGGTAGAATGTTACGTAAAATTATTCTCCAATTTAGAAGGCTCTGAAGGCTGGATTTTCCCCCGGAGTATCAGTTTGGACACGCCTGATTTAGACAAAATCATTATTATTAATTAATTATTAAATTATTTTCACAAGAATACAACTATCAACACCATGTCCATTGTTTAGCCTATATTACCCCCAGAAAGAAATAACTCTATGCTGATAGTTGGTGTTTTGGTGGAGGCGCAGACAGCTGACTGTGTGCAACCGTGTGATTCACAGTCACTGTCACATATGCTGCTGCTGCTGCTGCTGCTGCTGCTGCTGCTGCTGCTACAAGCTGATGATGAACACATAATTACATATTTAGTAATGTGAAATTATGAAGTGAACAATGCACCACTACCCCACATGTCTACCCTACTTCAGCAATGTCTGCTGCTCAATGCCCCAATATTGAGATAAATCCACCTGTTTTCTCCTGCCATATGTCTCCAAACAACATTATGATTGTCCGCATTATACTTCATTATTCATATTTCTTTCATACTTTGAACAAAGAGAGATTTTTAAGTTCAGACAGTGAGTGTTTTTTTTAACAACCTATGTAAATTTGAACTTAAACTGATTTATATAAAATAATGAACATCTGGTACATATGTTGCTATCAAAGCTGTTGTTCACAATACAGGTATAGTATCACCAACCCCATGAAGATTGTATACACTGTATCTACTTTGTATAATATCATGTGGGCGGGGCACGTGGGGATATGAAACTTTCTTAAAACCAAATGTGTAGTACAAACATATGAAACAAACACCTTTATTTTCATCTGCATCTTCCCCATCGTAAACAGTTGTGTGAACAAGGGGAATGAGACCCCGGACCCCCACTGCCCTGGGGTTTCTCTGTCTGTCTTGTGTCACCTAGCAACCACACAGTACACACTAAGATTCCTGGAGGTCCACAAGAGTCAGCGTGTCACAGCCGCGTCACCCGCTTTCCACTACACCATACACACAACATTACTGTTTGCCTGAATGATGGAGGTGATCTGAAGGGCCAATGGTATCTCACCACCACACATTGTTTAAACCCCTAAATGTAATATTCAACATTAATCAAATAATAGTAGAGCTAGTGATCATCACGACTGACCTAAAACTATTCTTTTGTAGATTATGAGAGTTTTGGACTAGATGACATGTTTCCTTTGAGTTTCATATACAGCTTGCATCGCAGATTAAAGGGAGGTTTGTGTGTGACATTGCTGCCAAGAGCTGATTAACAGAGTCTTTGTTATGCAAGAATAAAGAGAAATTACACATTCAGAGAATGAACTGTCTGACTCTAGGCCTTTGCAGATGGTAGGGTCAGCCAAAGGGAACAGAAGAGGCCCCTGTTGGCCTTGTTGGATCCAGCAAACACAAAACAATCATACTACTTCTAAAGTAACAGCCTCCTAATGTGTCTACTATCAACAAAACACTACTATGCACTATGACATATATAGTGGACAGTGTGATGGAAGTGAATACTACATTTCTCCTATCAGCCCTCACAACTAAGATACATTTTCTGCTTTGTCATAATCTAAAGCCTGTCCATGATATCATCCTTGTAAACATCATAAAACACATTGATAGCAGCAGATCACAGCAACACATATTACATATTACCCAAAAGCAACACAATAGTGATTACTCAACCAGGGCATAATTACAAATACAACTTCAGTGAGGAAATTAAAAGCAACCAAAAACAAACATAATGTTCTTGGCCAGTATATCTTTCTTAGAAACTGAAACAGAGGCATATGACACAATTGTCATATAAAAAATAATCCTCTTTAGCAGTAAGGTAGACTTTTCATTTTTCTGTGAAAAGTAACCTTTTAAAGAACTGACATTATTATAATTATTATTTATTATTTGCGAGTGGCACTAAAGCCATTAACTACATGTCACCACCAGCTCCAGGCGGCTTCACTCTCTGTTCAGAGAAGAGGACTCTCCATGGTGTTTGTCACATGCACAACACAATTAGCCATACCATGAGGGGGACGTCCTGTTTTAGCAGAGCAGTAAAGTGGGGGATGCCCAATTGGAAAAAACATGGTGGGAAACAATGCTGCCCTTTACTGTTCTGTCACATGACCACACAAAGATATTCTGGGCATTGATAAATGTAAAAGAGCCATGTGGGTGCCATTTGTCTAGATGACATGGTTCTCAACCTGTGGTGTGTGGATGGATTGAATATTTTGATATATATAAAGAAAGCATACCAGATAGATCCCTGTCGGTCACTATCAGGCACAAAAAGTCAAAAAGCGATTTCACTATTATTTTATTAGTTAACTGCAATTTTATAGAGAGTGGAAATATTCCACTTAGTATTTTCACTTTCTGAAATGACTGATTTTTTTTTCTACACAATATTCAAAACTTTTAACATCAAAGGCTATGCTTCATCTACATCTACTACATCTCATGTGTAAGTTTGAGGCAGATTGGTCCACACACACGCACGAGGGTAAGGAGATTGGGATGGGGCCAGTTGAATAATCACTACTCAGTGTAATTGTCTCCTGTGGGCTGCCTGACCTATGGCTGTAATCAGACTGAGTGAGATGAAAAGGTGATCACTGTCTTGTCTGTGTGAAAAGTGAAGCTTTGGGATTATCAAGTTAAATGTCTCTAAAGCAATGCAACCTATGCAATATAATATTATGATTATTATACAGGAATGGATGTCTATATAAGGTTTTAGACAATGACTAGTGGCAAGGTTCACACAGAGCAGAAGGGTCAATTCAATTCAGTCACATACACAATGTAATAAGGTAGTAAAAAGAGAAACATTCTAATGGCAGCCACGACAAATTGAGAAAAATCCATCAAACGTTGATAAATGTCACACAAAAATATATAATTGTATAGGCACAAGCTGGAGTGTACAAGAATGACACACAATGTGTTTTTGATATATTAACTACCATGTACCTCAGGTAAAAATAAAGTATAGTAAGTATCCTGTAACAATAAAGTATACATTACCTAAATATTAGGGCTGTCAAACGATAAAATGTTTTAATCGAGTTAAATACAGCTTAAAAATGTATTAATCGTAATTAATCACATTTTAAACAAACGGAAAAATGATGCCATATTTTTCTGTAAATGGTTGTTTGAATGGAAATACATATGTACAGTATTTGTTTATTATAACAATAAATCCACATAAAATGGCATTAACATTATTAACATTCTGGCTCTCTGTTTAGACTCAGACCAAAACCATTGTTTGTTACAGATGAGGGACATTTCAAAATAGTCTGAAATGCAGAATGTCATTTAATCTGTTTGATTTGCTCACACCATAACTTATTTTGGCACAACCAACATGAGCTGGTAGTGGAAGGGAAAATTAGGTACCCCAGCTTTAATTTAGCGAGTGCGCTTCGGGAGAAGACACGGAGGAGACTGAGGCCCCGACTCCACCGGCTGCGTAAAACTTACTACGTATCCGTCCAAACGTGTCTGTTTCATCTCCGTTTCCGTTTTCTCCATGAGGGTGAATGGAAGTGGCACCACTGCCCGCAACATGGGTCCGTATGACGCGTGTAGGGAGCAGTCCGTCCACGCAGGGTGCAACGGACGCAGACGGACGAAATAGAAACAATCCTATTTTTTACGTCTGTCGACGCGTGTTTGGTCCGTTTTCCATTGGAAATACAAAGGAAAAATATATTTACCACATTATTAAACATGTAAAGATATATGCTGTAGTCCTCGGTTATAAGTATTTGTTAATGACAATGATAATTAAAAAAATGTGTGTAATGTTCATGTATTAAATTGAAATGATTGTTTCCTGATTGTAAATCTACCGTTTATTTTTCACATAATGTTATTATTGACTTGCTTTCAACAAAGCCTTAATATGTTGGAGTTCTTTTCTCTTTTCTCTCTCCCCTTTTTCCAATTGCTCTCAATAAGTTTGTCCTCATCCATCGCAACATCCTCGATGCTTCAATATGCCGTGCTTTGCATAGATCATAGCTACAGCTCATGCAAATCACACACCGCTTATTCTATTTAAAACAAAGCCTCATGATGTGCTGATAACCGCACAGCCAGAGCTGCGCGCTGCTGAAGCCGGTGTGGCCACTATTCTGTTTTACGGACGTCTGACGGGCAGCAGCCTACGCGCGTAAACAGAGACGCAGCCAGTGAAGTCCAGGCCTGAGGCTCCGTAGTCCAGCTTCAGCGCTGTATTTATTCTGTGCACCGGTTACACGTACGCACACTACAAGCAGAGAATAGTTCTGTGCGTGTATGGTCTTGGATATGATCACGTTACGGCGGCGCTGTTCGCCGTGATCACAGCCGCTGGAGGTGGAAACTGCTGTCCAGAGCGCCCGCAGCTCAGCTCGCAGAGTTCATGAAACAACAAGTGCCCCGTGTGTATTCTTTTAAAACGTGGATTCCCAGAGGGCCTACCTACTCTGTCACCATCTTACACACGCATGTGTCCGTGGCATTCTGAGTGTTATTATGGGATGCATGGGCCTGCGTCAATCAATTAATGAAAAAAATTAATTAACGTGCGTTAACGCGATAATTTTGACAGCCCTACTAAATATATTCATCATAAATCATTCACAATTTCACCCTAAAGGTTTTATTTGTATTCTATATTATGGGTCATTGTAATCAGAATGTGAATTGCAGATTATCAGGATATTATACTGTATGTCAGTAAAACCTTTTTTGTTCAAGCCAAATGTGAACATTCTCAAACAGCTGTTTTCTTTTTGTGTGAACTGGCTGTTTACATATTACTATTCATTTATTTATTTGAGTTGTTTTACCATTGCATCCAGAAGCTGGATACATCGCTGCAGAACGGCTCTGGTCTCACAGTAAAGACGGAAGAGAAGACGTCCGATAGGTTGTCTTTCACAGGTATTGACATAGTCCCTTTCTGAGGACGATAAAACACAATTCAAACACTTACATGACTTCAAATATGTTCAAGTGTGATTCTTTAAACTCACCGATGGTCTTCCCCAGCTCCACACACTGGCTGATATGAGGAAAGCGAAGGATCTCTTTCCATTTTTTACTCCGACCTTTCCTCTTTCCTCCACCACCTGCAAAACAAACCACATTTCAGTTAAAACGAGTTGAAAGAAAATGCAATTTGTGTTCGCAAATATTTTAAATCTTCATATACAAAACAGAATCGATAATTACCACTGTTTGAATGGCTACAAACTATCAAAGCAACTCTGCTGCCTCCTCTCAAAGTGACCATTTACAGACTCTGTAATTAAAACGTCTTAAAGTGTTACTGTTTCAAAACAAGTGACAGAGTTATGAGACTGGACTTGTTTAGTGGTTTTACAACCCTACAAATTAACTATCTTTGCCCCAAATGATCCATAAGTTGACCATTTTAAACTAACTCTTGTTCACTTGGGACGAACTATGAACGCAGCTTCACTGTGTGTTGGCAGAAACAGAAAGTCTATTCAATCCCGCTCAGTTCCCATCAGAACCTAGGACTGTGCCAGATGAGATTCCTCCTCTCTGAACAATCCAGCATTAGTTTCCTCTTAGTGTCTGGCAAAGTTTGCATAATCATGGCTTTAAGCTTTCTAGTGCTAAACCAGGTCCAAAACAGGTCCAAACCATGCATAAACCAAGTCCAAACCAGGTCTAAACCAAGTCTAAAGCAGGTCCAAACCAGGCAAGTGTGTATGACTGTTTCTTTCTCACTAACAACAAATATAGATGAAGGAGGATGGGGTGGTACACTAGTTATGTAAGTGTATCTTGTGTTTTTATGTTAAACTGATTCTTTTTCTGACAGTTGAAAACAATAAAAAAATAAAAAAATAAAATAAAAAAACAACAAATATAGATAATAATTTTAGACTGTTGTGAAATCATGCTATGCGATGCTATATAACATCCTCAGTGATGTCATCATTTACAATCAGGAGGTAACATTCTGAACTAAAGATACATTAAAATCCGCAATATAATAGTCTTGACTGTGTTTTGGGGAAAGTACATTCTAACCAACAGCAGCACACGACACTGGTTATTCCTTGACAAATGAAGAAAGGTAAATGAAATAAATAAATAAACAAACAATTGCAATTCAACATTTAACTGTGATGCTTCCGGCTTTTCCTTTGTCCTCACTAACCTCCACCTCTCACACATTATGTACGCTTGGGTCAACTCATTGTGTCACCCTTTTCCGTTGCGTTTGAATGTTTATTTTTTCTCAATCTAGGGAGCCAAACCAAATAATGAAGTGACAGGGATTTCCTCAAGCCACTCCCAGTGTGTAGCTTGCCCACTCAGAGGTTCAAAGCTGAGAGCAGAGGAAGCAATGACATCTTTAAGTAATAAAACAGGAATGTGACCGGCACTACGTCATGCTGCAGCCTTTGACTAAAACATTCCCCATCAATAATATGCACCACTCATTATAACGTAACTTTGGACTCCATCTTATTCTCATTAGTGACTTACAATACATTTACATTTTTTCACAGTATCTCATAGACATGCACACAATTTCAATCTAAAATGTGAGAACAATATATTCTAGACAATGTGGGTGAAGTGTCTTGCCTAAGGACACAACAACAGTTTGGCATTTTACAACCGCAGCAGCCCCACTGTGGCTTAGCTTCAGAGGTCGGACGGGATCTGGCTTTTACACCAAAACTAAAAATTAAAGTAAGATTCATTTGAGAAAGAATCTATGCAAAAATTGTCTCATTGTCTGATCAGTTTTAGTCAGATTTGGATTTAAATCAGGTTATAACAAAACAACTTTACTTATTATGTTTCCAATAACAAAAGACTTTTATAATAACCACTGTGGCATTAATAATAGTAATGAGAATAGTTATTAGTATTGCAATAAACACAAGCAATATGATCTATGTTTTATTTCTAAAAAGAGAACATTTCTTATAGATTAGCTTTGTTATGCTTTCCTGAAATCATGTGGGAGCAAATGGGGACCTACATCAGGTAAAACAAATGATTGTGTCGTACACTGGGCCTCAGAGGATCATTATCCAGCACCACCTGCTCCCCATTTCCGTGAGTCACAATATAGAAGCACACTTTCTTTTTCAAGACACTATTCTGCTCAGAAATAACAAAATAATATTTGGATCATGATTATATACAAAACCTTTATTATAAAAAACGTATCTCCGTTGTGATAACATGTTTTGGCTTTCAAATTGAAAGAATTTGCTCAAGAAGGGGTGGAACGTAATTTGTATGGCACTACAATGTATCTGGCTTTTCACAAAACGACATGATAAATGGAAAACTGTCTTTTTGATATTTTTCTAATGCAACTTACCTGTTTTTGCAAATGAACTATGTATATTTGAAACATTTTAAGTCTCAATAATGCTCTAAATCACAACAGAGTGCCAACATAGCAGTAAATAATTGTAGATGGGACATAGAGAGTAAGAAATAGAGGTGCAATAGCAGTACAGGTGGTATTGGGATTAAAACAATGGCTCAAAGCAGAAACATAAATATTACACAAACATACGGGCGACTCGATAAAGACAACAGGACTGAACAGGGAAAAGCAACAACAAACATGTCTCCGGGGCGCAGGAAAGAATTTGGACACATCTTCATCAGCTGTGGTTTATGTGAACAGCAGAGAGAGCCAACAAAATGGAAAGCAGGGAAATATACAGGACTATTTTTTAAATGATTAGGGTTGGACTTATAATATGTGACTCCAGGCTTAGTAGCTATAGGACGCACATTTATTGTCAAAATAGTAAATGAGTCCTGACATGGAAGCGAACAGTTAATGCAGAGGTGTCCAAACCGGTCCAGAAAGGGCCGCTGTGGCTGCAGGTTTTCTATCAGACCCAGCAGGAGCAGAGCAGACTCCACCCATTTCATCAAATATTCAGATTAAGACTGAACTCACTTGAGGAAATGGGCGGAGTTTGCTCTGCTCCTGCTGGGTCTGATAGTAAACCTGCAGCCACAGCGGCCCTTTCTGGACCAGAAACCTCTGAGTTAATGTTTCTCAGAGTTCATGGTGTCCTTTACTAAGCTTAGTCTATAACAAGTCAACAGTGGGTTAAACGCCTCATCATTTACTCATGTTGGGACCAGTTACAAAAGTTTCCAATTCGGGCGTTCTGCTCTCCCAAAATTTCATCCACTGAGCGGCGCTGTGATAAAAAAATGACACCGTTTGTTGCCCAGTTCACTTCCGGTTGATTTCATACAATGGCGAATATGGCTCCCGAAAACAACAAACGATTGACAGTTCCTGAATTGCGTGAAAGGTTGAAGCGAAAGGGTATTTGCAGTGTGGGAAAACGAAAGGAGGAATTGTTGTTGCTAGTTCAACGAGCGGATGGTGTTTATGAAGATTTAGAAGAAGATGACAGCGAGCAGAGTGAACGAAAACGGCTGTGTGTGCGAGTGACAGATGGTAACAATGAGAATGAAGTTCAGCTAAGAGGGAAGAATGTGAATTGGACGGATGATTTGCGCGATATGCCACTAGTTAGAGACGGGAATGTATTTGCATAATGTAAAATGACGAAAACACTCAACCATTTAGAGAAAATGCGCCGGGCAGAGAGAACCGGAAGTTGCGAAGGCAAGTGTTACCCATAATGCAACGCAAAATTCAGTCGCTCCCCCGCCCATCGGATGGAATTTTGGGAGAGCAGAACGCCCGAATTGTCTTTGAGTTTCTCTATCAGCTGTTAAGTGTCATATTATAACATGAAAACCTGCGGCTTGTATTCAGTGCAGTCTGCTCGAAGATTTGTGGCAATGTGGCAACAAAAGGATACTTCCTTTGAAAGCTCAATAGTGGGTCAATGATGAACCGCTACTCTTTTACTGGTTTCTAAACTAATCTACTTGTAGTAGTAACCATTGTCTAATCAAAAAAAATATGTTTTAAAAACACACAAAATAAACCATTTGGACAGCTACTGCTACTCCACTACAAAACCATCCAGAGACCTCATAACTATATACTTCTTTATGTCTGGTTTGGCTCATTCTAATGAGTTTATGACTGCTTTCATTTCTGTCTTGTGCGGAAGATTCATCCAGTGACTCACACAATTACAACTGTTAGTGCTTTCTTATGGTTCATTTCACTTAATGAGTTTTGTATCCACTCACTGCTACTGTATAAAATGCCAAAAACACAGTCCTAGTCCTATTGTTAAAAAAACTGAAATGAATTTTGATGATCTAAAGATTTCATCATCATATTATTGTTCTAACTAATCAGATAATGAGGCTAATCTCATGTAAACTGTGTTAAATAGACGACAAGATGAACTCAGAGGAACAAAATATTTGACTACAGTCAGCAGGACAGACAGACACACCCAAAACTCATCTTGATACATAAATAATTAATCCATGCAGATCTAATATGCTATTTCCTGTCTGCGTCTCGAGACTTCTCACAATATTGTTCTAGGCCTAAACACACCACTGCTCTTACAATGAGTGCATTGTGGAGTGCATTGTCATTAGGTTTAGTACTGCGGCCATTTCTTTGGTAATGGATTATTATGACCTAATCTTTATATATTGCTCCTTTCACAGACCAGAGTTTGAAGATCTCTGGTCCCCTGGGCTGTGGGACTTTATCAGTCCCTCTGTGGGATTAATGAAGGTATCATTGATTCATAAATGCTGAGCATGATCATCTCCTTCAGAGCAGTGTTGGCGCAATGCAGACACATTTTCTGTGTGAAAGTGCTGGAATGAGTGAACCTTGTGCATGTGTAAGTAATAGAAATTAACCGATTAATTGGTATTGTATGGTTTATGGACAGTGTACAATAAACAATAGCCAAGAGGAGAGGTGCATTATTCCAGGTTGTAGCAGCAGTGCTTTTTTACACCTGTAGTCCCTGAGCAGGTTGTTGTAAAACACAAGTAGATGAATACATTACCCTACATTATCAGACACAAATTACAAATGAATTTAGCATAGTTATAATAAAACCACAAAGCCCAATTCTTCATTTTCTCACAATACAAACATTCATATAATCAACACACACACACACAGGTTTTTTCAAGTGCCATTTTT